GAGCAGAGACGTCACCGACAGAGCAAGATGAAAGCAGCATGGGGGAAGGGGATGGAAACACCTCCTCACAAGCAACACGTGGGTTTCCACATGTGTTATGTGATCACGTGACACTAAGATTCTAGTGCATGTTCTAAGCATGTGGCTCTAGAGATACATCTACCTGGTGCTAAGGATTTGATCTGAGTGATAGAAAGGAGAGGTGTTTGCTGTTTGTTGTGGTTGTGGAGAAAGGAAACTCGGGGCAGCTCAGATTCAGTTCTGATAAGCAATCACATTTCCAGTGACTTATGCCAGATCATCCATGAAGCCATCTGACATGTTCACATCAGTGTTTTAGAGCAACAACAAAAACACCAACCAGAACTTTGACTGAATGTGGACAGTAGCCCTGGCTATCCTGGAACTTGATGTAGACCAGGTTGGCCTTGAGTTCACAGAGATCCACCTGTCTCTGAGTGATGGGTCTAAAGGCAGGCACCACCACACTGGCTCAAAACTGTTAATTAAAGCATCTGCTGTGCCATGTCTAGTGGCAGGCAAAGTAACAGGAAACGGTACTGACTCAAGATTTTACGGAAGCTGCAGTTCTAAAGAAATCATACTTAGGTGCAAAATGCAGAGGAGCCTTGGACAGGATGGGGAGCCCACATCTCCTAATGCACAAACAGGGCCTGGTCCCACTGTTCAACCCGACGCAATGCTCTCTTAAAGGGATTTTGTACTGAACCTTTCTGAAGTAGGGGGGGAAAAAAGATCAGTTACCATTTTATTATTTTTCATTCTCATTCACCTCTGAACTTCCTGGTTCGGTCTGAGGCCAAAGTCAAACTTGCCAAAACACCACGGGGAAGGCTGCTCTCACAGTATTCCTGGCTCACCAAAAATTTTCTTGAGAAAGCCAGTTTCCATGAGATTTCAGATCCAATTCCGTAGACCCAAGAAAACTCGGGGCGGTTCAGATTAAGTTCAGATAAGCATTCACATTTTCAGTGACTTATGCCAGATCAACCACGAAGCCATCTGACATGTTCACATTAGTGTTTCAGAACAACAACAAAGAAACCAACCAGAATTTTGACCCAGTGTGGACCGTGGGAGGAGTGCAATGCGTCGAGAAGCCACTAGACATCCATAGATACTTTATTCTTTAGGAAAAAATCAATCAAGACAACAAGAACGGCCCTGAGACTTATTTGGGGTATAAATGAGCCTTACACGAGGTAACCTCACAACATCTGAGTTGAGCAACAGCTTCCCAGGAAAAGCTGCCGCGCTGACCGTGGTGACTGGCACGAGCTGTGACCCTGAGTGATAATATTGCCCGTTTGTTTATCTTTCCAAACTCTCTCCTCCCCCACCATCCTCTAAAAGTGGACACGTCAGTACCAACAACGCTGAACACAGGAATGTGAACCATTCATCCTGACACCTCACAGCTCTCAAGGAATCAATTTCTCCAACTGCCGTGGAGTGGGGCAGGGAGGAACAGAGGCTAGAGTAACTTTCAGATCATCATGGAGGGAGGGAAAACCACCTCTGGGGCCAGAAATTATCCTCAGAAGCAAGAAATGAATTTTGATTTTGTTCAAAGCATGATTCGAACATGAATCTACTCAGCAGGAAATCAAGAACCTTCCATAAGTGTATCCTAATGGATTTTCTGACGCAGCCCATGGTGGCGAGAAGGTTGACCATTCTCAGAGTCCATTCTAAGGGTTCCGCTACAGTTAGGGCAGGAGGAAACTTCCATAAGGGCTTATTTTGTTTAATGTACTATACACAAATCCCTGTTCTTCATACACAACAGCTGAGAAATGGGTCGTATGCTGCACGAAACCACCATTAAAATGTTTGGCATATCGGCATCCACTCAAGGTTTCACCAGCCTTCTCCACGCAGGAGATACACAGTATGAGCAAAGGAAATCCCTATTTTCCTCAACCAGCATAAACTACTGCATCTTAGCTAATGGAAGGGTACATACTGGCCAGAATGGGTAAAACACAACGAAATCTTTATTTGTTGAGTTTACTCTAAAGGAGAATTCTTAAAGAACATTGCCAGTGTAGCTGGCCACTTTCAAATACTGAAGTGAGGAAAATTCAGCTAACTCCTAAAATTTAATATGGCGCAGGTTTTGCTTTCTTCTTACCTTTCCTACTGCCAAGCTCGGGGGGGGGGGGTCTGGATTTCTCAGATTCTCTCTTACCAAATCTACGAGAGATTATAGCTCTGTATTAAAGGAGAGGTCTGCCTGCAGAGAAGAAGCTAATTAATTGGCTCTAACTATTGTCAATCCTTCCTTCAAAATGCAGAAGATGAAGATTTTAGTCATATATCAATTCCAATACCTATTAGATAAATGGACATTCATACAAATGTATGAAGCATCCATTACATATACTATTAATCAAAGCTTGTGTCTGAATTTTAACTAATGCTCATATCATCAGACAGAATTAAATTTCTCAAAGAAAAATATATCATACTTTGTAACATGAGGGGCTTGCTTTGTTGGGGTTTCTGTCCTGCCCGGTTCCCACAGTGGTTAGGTCCCAAAGAAACCACACAGAAGGTCTACATAAGTTAAAACTGATTAGCTCAAGCTTCTTATTAACTCTTTTCATTTATATTAGCCCATTATTCTTATCTATGTTAGCCATATGGCTCAGTACCTTTTTCAGCAGGGCAGGTCACATCCTGCTTCTTCAGTGTCTGGACAGGACTGTGGGAAGAGCTTCTTCCATCCCAGAATAATCCTGTTCTCATTGACCCACCTCTACTTCCTGTCTGGTTGTCCCGCCTATACTTCTGACTGGCTACTAACCAATCAGTATTTATTTAAAACATAATTGACAGAATATAGACAGTTCTCCCGCACCAATACTTAATATACCGTAAATATCAGTGAGTATGAATATTAGTATTCTGTGGCCTGAAGTCACTCAAGTCAACTCAGCAACTCTTGTCTAACTAATGGGAGCTTGAGGAATAGCACTGGAGCCCAAGGCTTCCTTCTCTAATGCGAGCCATTCGTTCGAGTATGAGTATGGTCAGTAATGAACTAAGACTGTAGAAACCAAAGTCTTAGAAAACATACCGATGTATATTACTACAAATATTTAAACCATGTGTTTTCTTTTAATTAGCATCACTTTAAAGTTGCTAATTATTGGATACTTTTATAGGCATTGGGCATGTGACTGATCAGTTAATTTATACTTAGAAGAGTGGTCTCAATATAAATACTATTGTTACCAATATTAGAGATGGGGAAACTGAGCCTGAAAAGAATAGAACTGGCCCATCTTCACAGACCAAAAAATAGAACTGATTTTTTAAACTAGGTCTGCTTGAAAAGACGATCTCTGGTCACTTATTCACTGTGAACTTTATTCCAAATGAGAATTCTGTGCTTTATGGCTCTATAAATATCACCATGGTGAACCAGCAGCGGAAGTGATCTAAGCCGGCGTAATTATGTATAATTTAACACGGCCAACGTTTTCTTTTATACTTGTGCTAATGAACTCACTGCTCATGCAGCTCCAATCGCCTCCTGCATATGAATGCTTCCAGATTTGCATCCAGACTGAACCACTTACTCTGTTATCAGATTAGAGCGGTGGTTTGTCAGACAGGGAAAATCTGCAATATAATGTGTTGAAAACAAAAAATAATTCACCACAAAGACGTTAACCCTATTCATTTATGTGGAAGACTTTATTTTAAACATTCTACATAATCAGAGAAAGAAGAGAGGTAAATACTGCAGAGGTTGTGATCAGGGCCATGAAGGTCAGACAGGAACTGGACACAGCAGGTACCTGGGTTGCAGGCCTTGGAGTCATGACTTTCAGCTCATCCTGCAGGGGTGGTGCTGTGGTACAGACAAGATCTGGGACAACCGGGGCAGGTTGTACGGGAGAGAAGCAGACTCTGTCAGCTGCATAGGTTTGGCCCTGGATGCCAACGTGCAACCTGACTTCAGCCAATGTGAGGAGCACAGAACAGTACAAAGGAGAAGAATCCTTTAGCAGGAGAAGGGGCGGAAGGCGTTGGCACAGGAAGGGTGGGGTATAGGTGTCTGTGATGGGATAAGAGTGGATTAAGGCTCAGGAGGTAGCTCTTTGAGGAAAACAATAGTTCTGGACCCCCTAAATTGGCAGCTCTTGAGGAGACAGGAAAAGTTGAAGGGATCGCTGCGCACAAAGGAGGTCAGTCTGTGAGTCTTCCAGCACAGAGAAGAGGAAGGTGGAAAGCTGCTGATGGAAAGTGGAACATGAGGCTCAGATGCCTACCTCTCTAATTGCCTGAGCAATCCTAAATCCAGAGGGAAGCCCCACTGTGTGAGAGCCAATCTAACACCCAACAGTGAGCAATTCGAAAGAGACGGGTCCGAGGTTCGGGAGCTGTGCTGGCAGCCCAGTCAGAACAAGGCTAAACTGACATTAAACATGTCTCAATAAGGAATCTCAAACTTATGTTTTGATGAATTTTAACTTTGTAGATTTCTTTCTGTTGCAGGAAAATGGTCCCAATGCAAGGACTTTCATAGGCAGTCTCTAACAAGAAGTTTCTTCCAAGAAGAAAAGGAAACTGTCCACTTTTACACCCAAAGAGATGAGAAAAGTTGACTTCCCCTCCCCGATGGCTGGGTAACATGTACGGTTGGCTTTCTTGAAGTTGTACCCCTGAATCTCCGGGGTTGACTTCGAAGAAACGTCTGAGCACAAGGGCAGCGGACCATAAGCATCCAAACTCTTTTCCCTGGTTTCCCCGGAGGGTCCCCACTGCAGTACTAGTGCCCATAGGACTGTTGCTAAGACCAATAGCTCCCAGGAGCAGTGGCCAGCCCCATGAGTCCCAGCTCATGGAGCAGGTTAGGACACGGAGCCCATGTCTCCTTGGACACAGCAGGCTAACTGGTGAGTTAGGGATGAAGCTTCTGCTCTTGACCCTAACACAGCGGGGATGTGTAATGAGCATGTAAGCAGATTCCTCTGAATGAATAAATAAAGGGGAATCTGTAGTGTAGATAGAGCAGGAAATTTATAGAATAAGAATGAATGTAACTTGGTGTAATGTAAAAGCATTTCTTCTTGTGTGGGGTATGGAAAATTACTAAGGTGAAATATTGGGAGAGCATTTGCCCGTTTGAAGGCTGCCACACCCATCTGGCCCTGCCAGATGTGGGGGGCTGCACCCAGCAACCGTGGTAACGAAATAATCTTGCCACACAAGAGGTTCCCCCACCCTTCTGTGGCCAGTCGATACTGATAACCTAGGACACCTGGTTATCGGAAGGATCAAACGAGGGGCAATTTTGAACTGGCATAAAAGAGGTGGCTGAAGCAGGGCAGTTATCTCACTTCTCACAATGGCTCTGGCACCAGGCCTCCGTGGAAAGAGAGATCCTCCTAGCCTGCCTCCCGAAAAGCAGCAATACTGAATGCCTTGCCTAAACATTTAATGCTCTGTCTCCCGAGCACAGAGTTTTGTCTCCCGAAAACAGACATTTAACACCTTGCATCCCGAATGCAAATCCTCATTCCATGAGAGTGGACATTGAAGGTCTGTCTCCCGAGAACAGACTAGATACTCTGCCTTTCAGAATGCTTTGCCATCCCGAAAGCAAAGCTTTGTTTTCTGAGCAGACAGAACGCTTTGCCATCCCGAGAGCAAAGCTTCATCTTCGAGAGTGGAGAACTAAAAGCCTTGTCTCCCGAGACTCGGTCGCCCAAAAGCCGAGTCCAAGGCACTACCAGATACCAGCCTGGAACATCAGGACCTTATCTCCCGAGTGCAGACTACAGGGTCAAGAGTCGATCTTCGCTACCCAGCCCCCAGTGCGGACAAGAGCCCAGCCTGAAAAAATTCAAAAAAGCCCTTTTTAAGCCAGGGAATATCAGGTCGTATGATGCTATTTCATGTGTGTATAAGATGTTAAGAGAAGAGCATAGATGTGTTAATACATATGTTAATGTGTGAAATGTTAAGAGATATTTTATGGATAATTGATCAGATTAGGAAATAATGGATAAGCTAAGGTTAAGGAGTGTTTTATAGATAATTAATGGATAAGTTGTATTAAGGTTATAGATAATTAATGGATAAGTTGTATTAAGGTTATAGATAAGTAATGGCTGAGTTGTATTAAGGTTAAGATAAGTTAGATTAAGGTTATGAATTGGTTTTATGTATTAGGTTTAGTAGGATTAATAATTGTGATATTGAATTGCCTGTGTGTTGCCCATTATCAATCCCCCATGCCTACTGAGATTGTAACCCCCATTGATGCATTGGATATTGAAGTTGCTAGTAAAGAATCATCATAAAATCAATTTTCTTGCTTGGTCTGGTTTCTCATCACTCTCTGGGGAGAAGGGCACAGAGTCCTCATAGATACTACTCGAAAAGAACCTGGAGCTGAAGTCCCCCAGCTCGTAACAGGATGGAGCTGCCATCACCATGTTCTCTCACTGCTCTTTTCTATAGAACAAGAAGCAAAACTCACAGAAAACAGAGATTTGCCGAAAGCTTGGGAGCCTCACAGATGGGGACAACTATAATAAACTAGGTATTTTATCCACCCATAAAATTGCCTTGCTAAATGCTGTGAGGGTTTTACTTCCACACGCAAACCCAATGGCGTTACTTTTCTCGTTTCTGACACAATGCCTGACAGAAACAAGAAACAACTTGGCTCACAGTTTCAGAGATGCCAGTCCACTGTCGGCTAGTGAGCACGGCAGGGAAGAGCGGTTCACATATCATATCTTGACATCCAAGGGGAGTAGTGTCTCTCTAGGCTTTCTCCCTTCCCTCCTTTACTCCCTCTGAGTCCCGAGACCACAGGAAGGTGCCGCCCACTGAGGTGGGTCTTTCTCCCTCAGCCAGTCCCCTCAGAAAGCACCCTTATTGAATTCCCTGACATGCAGATTGCCACTTTCATAGTTGGTTCCACATTCACTCAAGTTGACAATGAAGACTAGTCACCAATCAGCATGCCAAGATGTAAAAATCGTTTGCAAATCAGAAATGTTGTATTTTTAAGCCACTATACTCACCTTAGTTCTGACATTGAAGGCAGAATATGTAACTCTAATGTGCCACAAACCCATGGGAGGTCTACATTTTATCCCTCTGAATCTTGTTCTAGAAGCTTCTAACAGTTTTGCAGTGGCTGGAGTGGGAAGCAAATAAAGAGACAAAAGAGTAACCTGATTCAAACAGGTGCACATATTTCAATGCTAAAATGTGATTTTGGTAGATGATTGGCAGTCCACACAGGTCAGTGGTTTGAACTACGTGTTCCTAGTCGACAATTATGCAAGGTAATCAGGCCAAAAAACCATGGATTGGCAAGAGGCTCCATGTATATCCACCTACTCTTCCCACATTACCCAAAGACAAAGACCTTGCTCTTCCTCCACGTCCCCAGGTTCAGGAACTGCTCCTGTGAGCAGCTCCATGCTCCATGACCTCTCCTTGGTAACAGGGACACTGGCAAGGGTGGACATATTCATCACAGAAACCGTTGCTTATTGTAAACACTAAGAATAGAAGCGTTGTGCCTTCTCTTTCCCCAACCACCTTATAAACTGTTCCAGCTTTGCAGATATGAATTCACAGATAGAATTTGATGAGGAAAAATTATCTTTGTATCTTTCTATGTAGCCCTTCTCAGTTATTTTTTAGTTTATGCAAATGGAAAGTATGAAAAGAAAAATGGCCATTCTGCTTCAGTCAAAAGCATTATTAAATAATTAACAATGACTCTAAAATGTAGTTTTTAATGACCAGGAAATTAAATTGCCATGTGTGAAATTGGAAAATAACATTGTGTACTAGAAAATTAATTCCGTCCCATTAAAATTAGCCTCTTTGTAAGTGCTATTACTGGTTGACAAAATAATCGCTGTCTTCGCCAAATACCTAGCACTTCCTGTCTCAAATAGGCTCATGAGTTTCAGGCGCAGGACACCACTTTCTAGAACATGCATGGGGGGAGACCATGGTCTTTTTAAGTTAACCGTCTAACGGGTAGGCTGTAAAGAGCTTCTGAGGAACCAAGAACTAGGGAAGAGCTCTAAGGGTTTTAGACCCAGAGGGATCCGCTCCCCACACTGTATTACCATGTCACTTCCTTCCCCAGTGCCTGCTTCTTCACGCATAAAGCGGATGACAGACCCCATGCCTGGTGCTCCATGGCCTTCTATGCCAGTGGTTCTCAATCTTCCTAATGCTATGAGGTTTTAATACAGTTCCTCGTGTTGTAGTGATCCCCCCACCATAAAATTAATATTGCTTCTATTTAAAAACTGTAATTTTGCTACTGTTATGAATCATAATGTAAATATTTTTGGAGCGAGAGGTTTGTCAAAGGGGTTGCAACTCATACATTGAGAACCACTGTTCTAAGCACTGAATCTTGAGCATATACTTCTGAATGTTATGAAATGCAGTTATTGGTATTATACACATGAATAAAGACTGATGTCTCGTGAGTGCCAGGGGGCACAGCAGGGAACAAGACAGGTAAGGTATACATTGCTTAGCCCAAGGGAGTAGACAGACCCATCTCAACATTTAGGGATTGAAAGAAGAATATAGACCTGTGGTTCTCAACCTGTGGGTCATGCCCCCTTTGAAAAACCTCTGTCTCCAAAATATTTACATTATAATTCATAACAGCCAGCAAAATCAGAGTTATAGAGTAGCAACAAAACTAATTTTGTGGTTGGGGTGTCACCACAATACAAGGAACTGTATTAAAGGGTCTCAGCATTAGGAAGGTTGAGAACCACTGGTCTGAACTGTGAACTCCTGGACAGCATCATAAAGGCAGTGTGAATGCAGAGATAAATGATTTGGCTGGGCACAGCATGGGCCTGCCATAGCTAAGATGACAGAAACACCCCTCATCTGACTAGCCTGAGATGGGCAGCCTAAGATCCCCTGATGCTGTCTGGGGGTTCGGGTCCCTCCAGCTCACAGGTACATCATTTCCAGGATGATTCTCTAACTGTATGTGCTGAACAACTCTTCAGCACTCACTCACCTTCCAAGCAATAGTTTGGAGAACGGAAGACTATCCCATTCCATTAAGGGAAATAAAAATGAGACATTATTTTTTTGGCTAGGAATGGTAGCATATGCCTGAAATCTCAGAACAGAGAAATCCGAGTCAGGTGGATCACAAGTTTGAGGCCACTAGGGCAACACACTGAGCTCTGGACCATCCTGAGCTATCTAGCAAAATATTGTCTTAAAGATAGATTTTAAAATGATTGCCGTCAGCTCCTCATATCAGCCACTAGAAACTCCACAGAACCATCCAACTGCCTGGGAGCTGAGAAACGTGCTTGTCATGAGTGACCTTGTGCCAACCTAAGGAAAGAAAGCAGCTCGGGCTAGGAGAAAGGAAACAAACCAATCTCCAGAATCCTGAAGAACAGCTCAGAGTGGCAGGTGTGTTCCTTTTTTTTTTTTTTTTGTTAGCCATTCAACACCTGCCTCACACAGCTCTGAGTGAGCACAGCATGTGGCTGCATATGCAAACAAAGGGCCCAGTCATCTGCACCTGATCAACCCAAAATAGATGGCACAGTTGAAGCAGGAGGATGACTAAAATCAGAGCATCTCTCGGGAAGGGAGATGTGGAGAATAAAGCTCTCATTAGTCCTTGGGGTGATCCAGTCATGTTGGAAGGGAACCATAGAAGTGTCCTTCCAGCTGCTGGTGTGAGTCCTCTGGATAGTTGTTCTGGCTGCCACAGCTTCTACTCCAGGGGAAATTCTCACACCTATTGTCTTGCTCAGCCACAGACAAAGGAGACATCTAAGGGGCTCTGTTTTGGAGCAACTTCTCCACTTTGCTCTTGCTGATTTCAATGTATGGATCCAGGAGTTGAACTGATTTGACCCAGGGTCACTTTTCTGGCTTGCTGGTACTGTAATTCCCTTGTAACTGTAAGGATGCCATCCAGACCATGTGTTTCTGCTCATTTCCATGTGTGGGGGATCCTGACCAAGGCTCTGGTTTTGATGCAGATTTGAACCCTAAGGGTTCCGGGTTCAGAAGGACTCTGTTGTCCTTGGGAGACTCTCTGAGGAAGAATTCTTTTTGTAATGGAGACTCACATTCTGCTTCATGCTGACAAAGATGTTAAGTCACAGCCCGTCCTTCTATCAAGAGTTTGTGGGTGATGATTGTCCTCAAAACATAGCTACTCAACTTCTGGTTCTCGGGCCACACCCCTGCAAGCTGTTCCTCAGCCTACTACTGCCCATGTCAGCTCGGCCTAAGTTTTGCCAATGACTTAGTACTTAACAAAGTAGGTTCTCAACAAAGTTGGTTCCTTCTCACTTGCCTCTGAATAAGTGCCTTCCACCATGCATGTCCACATCAGTAGTGCAGAGCCCACACCCACAATTCCAGAAGGGGGTTCTTTTGCCATGTCTCATTCACTAAATCATCTCCTTTATTCATGTCCTTAAGTCCTGCTGAACATGCAAACTGGGTACCAGGGAGTGGCTACTGAGCAGAGCAATAAGATGCAGGCAAAAAAAAAAAAAAAAAATAGGCCTTACCACTTAATCCCTCTCCATCTTTAGAGAACTGCACTACCTATCCAGCCTGCATTTTGTGTGTTTTGTGGTTTTATTATTGTTATTGTTATCATTGCTTCTTTGAGACAGTGATGTGGGATTTCCCTCTGTATGCTGTGATTACTGTTAATGAATAAAGAACTGCTTTGAGCCTATAGCAGAGCAGGGCGGGGCAGAGCAGGGCGGGGTGGAGCAGAGCTAGGTGGGGAGGACTGGACTGAATGCTGGGAGAAAGAAGGGTAGAGTCAGAGAGAAGCCATGGAGCTGCTGCCAGAGTCAGACATGCCGAAATTTTGTGGGTAAGCCACTGCCATGTGGCGATGCACAGATTAATGGAGATGGGTTAAATTAATATGTAAGAGTTAGCCAATAAGAAGCTAGAGCTAATGGGTCAAGCAGTGATTTAAATAATATGGTTTCTGTGTGATTATTTCGATTCTGGAAGGCCAGGAAAAACAAGCAGCCTCCCTCCAACAAGACAGGATCTCACTCTGTAGCCATGAAGTACTGGCAGTCTAAGTGTATGCCAGTGTGCGTATCCAATTTCTTCATTTTGAAAACCAAAAATTCTTGTCCCACAGGTCTTTCATGCTGTAACTTCATGAAAGTCTATGACCACATACACATATGCACATACACATACATGCATGTACATGCACACACACACACACACAAACTCATGTGCAAGTTTTTTGCTACCTCATCTGCCTCACTCTACCAACGACGACTCC